TTGTGTGTGTGTGTGAGGTGTGATATGTGGTGACTGTGTGGTGTGTGTGTGTGTGTGTGTGCATGTGTCTGTGTGGTATGTAGGCTGGGTGGGTGGGTGCCTTGAGGTTTAAAGCCTGACTTGTTTTGTTTTCTAGTCCACTGAGATATGAGCACTCAAGACTCATATTGAGCCTGTTCCCGTTTCTCTGTATCTTTCTACTCCATGATGGACTCACCTGTTTCCCCTTCAGTTGCTTCTTGTTGGGCATTTGGTCACAGCAATGAGAAAAGTAACACATCATCTGTACTGACTGTTTCTCCAACAGAGAACATTGATCTATCCCAACCGAATCAATGAGAAATCATCACTGTCTGCCCTGAAGGACTTGTACTAATTGACAAAATTGGTCCTCACTCTTCCCAGAATTGAACTGGGAGGCTCATAGATTTTTTCCACTGAAAGAAAAAAAATAATTTTCCTGTACCTTAGTTCTGAAAATTAGCCTTGTCTCAGCCAGGTGATTTGTAAATAATAAATTACATTATCTGCAAAAACATATTACAGCTTTATTTGGCTGACCAGTGTTCTGATGGGTATACTTTTCTGTGAACCCACAGACCAGGATATCTGTGACAATTTAATGAATGTACAAGTGTAAGCCAAGGTAAAGAAAAGTGGATTTAAAGGCAGGCCTGATGGCAGGCCTATGATTCTAGCTACTAAGGAGGCTTGAGGCAGGAACATGGGAATTTCATGGCCTCTCTAGGCAACTTAGCAAGATTCAAATAAGGGAGTTGGAGAGATGGATCAGTGGTTAAGAACACTTACTGCCCGGTTCTGTTCCAACCACCCATATTAGGCAGCCCCAACCTCCTAGAACTATAGTTCCAGGGGGATCTGATACCTCACTCTGTCCTCTGTAGGCACTGCATGCACACACATATACGAATAAATAACATTTTTTTAAAAAATGAAACCATGCAGAGGGCTGGGGACATGGCTCAGTAGTAGAGTGTTTGCGTGGCTTGTGTGAAGTCCTAGGTTCAAGCTTTACTACCACAGGAAAAGAGTGAATTCGTGTGACATACTTATAGTGTGGCTTCCATGCATTTGTGTACCTATACTCTTCCCATTCTTTGTAATCCTGCAGGGTTGCATTTTTATGTTTTTTCTCTCTCTCTCCTCTTTACTCTCTCTCCCCCTTTCTCAGCTAAACTTGAGGAGGAGTTTGAAGTTTGATGGGAGGATAGAGGATGAAAAGTAACTGAAAACGATAAGTCAATCACATGGTAATGTTCTGGAAAAGACCAGCCCAATGGTCCATATTTCTTTTGGTCCCTGAGTCACACCAGGATGGACTCACTTTACTGGAGCTGTAAGTGGTGAAGCCTTGTTCAGTCACACAAGTCGTCAGTTTTCCTACTTACTACTAGTTTTATTGTTTTTAAATCTAGCTGGATCTGAGTTTTTCTATAGCTTGCCATGAAAGGAATGCGGTATGTCCTTCCTGTTTCAACTTCCAACCCCATCACTAGGACAGGAAGTTTGAAGTTAAGGAGTGTAGGTAAGGAGCATGGGTATCATTATAAAGGCAATGCCTGCTCTGATTAGAAATAAACAGCAAGGCTAAAAGAGAGGATGGGAGCTTATTCATCAATTAACCATCTCCTCACCCTGCTCATTACAACAAATGCTAAAACAAATCACAGCACAGGTCAATGTGAATGACCCTTGGTACCTTTCTTTTCCATGGAAAACACTCATGTCTGATTTCACTCACTAAGAGAGAAAAAATTGTTTCCAAACATTGTGAGTCTAGTTTCTGAGCTAAAACAAATGCCATGTTTCATTATAATCTTTGTATAAGATTATCTATATAATCTTTGTATAATAACTTGTTTTCCTTCTACCAATTGAAAAGCTGATGGGAAAGTTTTTTTTTTTTTTTTCCATGACAGACCCTGAAGTGCTCTGAATGACAGGCTTGGGTTCTGACCTTGATATCAGATATTAAAAACTTGAGATTTAAAACTAGGGCAGTTTATAACTTAAAAAAATTATGGCCATGTTCCATAATGTACGAGTTATTGGGGCCAATTGCAGCACAGAGGGGCTGGAGGAACAGCCCATGCATAATCCAAAGCACAGAGAAAGGAGGGGCATGGAAAGGCAGCTTTGAGAAGCAAGTTACAGTTCTGTGTTGGCTGTGTGGGTAAGAAAGACCTGGGTCAAAGTGGAGGCAACAGAAATGTGGAGGGGAAAAGGGAGCTGGTGACATGGGAAGATGACCCATGAAGTTCCAAGGCCTTGGACTTGGTTTATTGTTCTGCTGTCACTGTCTTGAAATTCTTCATATTTCCCCTGAACTTTCATTTCGGGCTGACCCTACAGATTATGCAGTGGGTCTAGATGGAATCATAGATGTGAATGTTCTCATGTTACTAGAGAGGCCAACAGAGACTTTGAAGATGTGACTAAGGATTTTGAGATAAAGAAATTGCCTGGATGGTGAGCCCCATGCAATCACAGGTCTTTATATGTAGGGACACAAGAGAGAAAGGGTATGAAAGCACATGACAACAGAAGCAGGTTATGCCACTGTGTCACGTGAGGTCCTGAGTCTAGGAATTTAGTGGCCCAAGGAAACACTGTTCTCTAGAATATTCCAAATGAATGTAGTCCTGCGACTTCGCTTTAGTTTTCTGGCTTCCAGAATGTAAGATAATACACTGGGTTTGTTTTCAATCACTACTCTTCTAGTCATTTGTTGCATCAACAATGAAAAATTGCTACACACTACTGAATGCAAGTTTCCTATAACTCAGGAATATCGGTAAAGTTAGCGGTTACCATTTATTGATCACTTCCTATTTGGCTAGGGACTACAGGAAGCCTATGTACATAATCTTACATAATCCTAGAACAATATTTGAGGTGTAATTAAGACCACAAAACCATCTAGAATGTGTTCAATGTGGAATAGTCCATGTCCCTTTAAACTTTACTGTGGGTTTATCCTGATTCTTCTTTTTCACTGTAGAGATTGGAATTTTCCTTCATGCTTTAAAGTGTATTATAGATTTTCTGGTGTTGGTAGAGGAGTAGTGGAGACATCAAGCGATGATACTTCTGGGGCGTGTGACATGAAGGAGGTGCTGAAGCCTTCTTGACAAGATGCCAGGTGGTTTCAGGTAGCTGCAGAGGTGAGAAAAAAAAAAAAGGCAAAGAAAGCTCTTGGGATAGCAAGTGAAAGATTCCGCCTGGCGAGGAAATCCTGGCTCCAGGAGGCGAGGCGGTGACAGGGAGCTACTAGCACAGTGGCTGAAGACCTGCAGGGAAGCCCCAGCCTTGTTTCTCAGAGCGACGAAACAGAGGTTCCACCACCTCAGGCCAACCCCTAAAACAGCACCCGCTCTCCCGCCTGCTCCTGGGTGTTTTGGAGCCCTCGTGGTCCCGCCTCATTGGCCACCGCGGAGCCCCGCCTCAGGGAGGCCGAGCGACCTCCGAGCCTGTAGTTCTCCATTTTCAAGACCTTCCCACTGTGGGGGGGCCCCAAGGGGCTACGGGGACTACAACTCCCAGAAGGCTGTGCGCAGAGGGCGTGATCACAACTGAGGACGCCGGAGGCGGGGCCTCCTGGGATGAAGCGGGGGCGCGCAGCACTGGTACATCAGTCGCTGCTGCTGGGAACCGTAGAGTGTTCCCTGTCCGATACCGGCGCTCAGATCTCGGGTCCTGGAGGTTCCCGGCTCCCAGGCACTGTCCCCTGCCGTTGTCGTCGCGGCGGTCCGCCGTTCCCCAGCCCCGATCGGCCGAGGCGACCGCAGCGGCCGAGGTCACCATGAGTCCGGGGTTCCGCCGGGCCGTTGCTGGGCAGGGGGCGGCGGCCGCGGTGCAACTGTTTGTCACCCTGAGCTTTCTCTCAAGTCTCGTCAAGACCCAGGTAAGCCCGAGGGACCAGAGGCAGGGGACGGGCCGCGCCGGCGTCGCCGAGAGGCCAAGGTGCAGGTGCGAGTGGCCGGCCAGGGACTGAGAACCGCACCGGTTAGTGCGGGAAACGTCTGTAAAGTGCGGCGGGCTCGGGGAGACGACACGCGTGGTGGTGGTTTACCGAAGAGGAAGATGGTGACGGCCAGTAAGCGCCAGCGTCGTTATCACTGTGTTGGTGACGGGGAGACACTGGTCTTGAGCAAGACGTGGTAGTGATGGTGTTGGGGACTCAAACCTCTGACATCCTTCCTTCAGGAGATGACAGGGAGGCAGGCCCTCCACCTTCTTCCTGGGTTAGAGGGGACATCACTTCATTTCCTTGAACTTGTGTTCTAGAGATAGAGCTATGTTTTACCTGCTTTATAATTACCTACCTGTCCTACGTATGCAAAGTGGCATACCAGGTGAGCCCAGTTATGACACTGGAGTGCCTTGGCCCCTAATGTGGGCCTCTTAAGTCTATAGTGAGGCTTGCTGGCTGGAGAGCCCGTTAGACTTTGAGGTTGCCTTGGTTAGGCTGGTATTACTGAAGTGTTCACTACATACTAGGAAGCCAAAGCACAGCTTCTTGCCTTGAAAAGAGGTAGGTTTGCTGCTTTTTTTTTTTTTTTTAGTGAGGAAGATTTGAACAGGTTGCCAGATGCTGCTATATCTTATCTGCACCTGCTGCAAAGTGTTAGCTCGAAGAGCCAAAAACGAAGAAAAACAAGTGTCTCAGATGGCCTGATAATGAGGGGCATGTAGTTTGAAGCAATTAACGCTCATTGCTAAGAAAAAAAAATGATGGTAACTATGAGAGTAACCGTGTAAACATGTTTTTCTGGCCTTGTTCATGGTGTTATGGGGCCCAGCACTAAATCCTAGAATGCATGAATATTCTGTTTGTGTCCATGTGTGAGTGCTCTTTAAACGAACGATTTGATAAAAATAAACAGCTGGGAACAGTGGCATACACCTGTAGCCTCAGCACTCAGGAGTTAAAACAAAACAGGACACTGGTCTACATATTGAGTTCTGGGTTAGCCAGGACTGCATAGCAAGACCCGCTCTCAAAAAACTAAACAATGAACCAATCAGAGTAAAGAAAGGGAAAGGAAAAGAAACCTTTTGTTAAACATGGAGACTCTCTGACCCCCTTCTGTGTATTCTGAGTCCATCTGGAACTGAGCGGAGGAATCAGCATTTTAAACAAGCCTCATAAGCATCTGTAATGCAACTGCTCTTTCCACTATGTTTTAGCCTGGCTTGGAAAACACTAGGATAGAATTTTGGGTATATCTATCAGACTTTAAAAAAAAAAAAAGAATTTTCTAGGCTGTCTGTCAATAGCAAAATTACTTTGTAGTTACTAGTTTGGATGCTTGGTTTGAGTGGAACTTACATTTAGAAATTTTTAATAAAGTCTGATTTCTCGTTTTCTTACTTGATATATGTCATATATTAATTGTATACTTTTTTTTTAATCACCAGTCCAGAAGCTTCACTTAAGGTTTCTCCAGCTACCAATAAGCACATGTAATTAGTGGTTTATAATGTACCTGTAATTCTATTTATTCTCTATCTATCATCTATCTGTCTATATCAACAATTAAATATTTGTGCACTTAAAAGTAACACTGTGCCAGTCTTCAAAAGTATATTTTGTTTCCAGTGGATACTTTCTAATACAGTTTTGGCGACATTTTTAGGTAGCACTGTATCCTGTAACATGTTTAATTATGTATTACCTCATCTTATTTGGTACATATCATACGTGGAGCTGTGGCGCTGAGTGAAGTTCAGAGAGCTTAATTGACTTGTTAAGTAACATAAATGGGGGGGGGGGGCTCTGCACAGCATTAACGAGTCAACGTACTGCTTCAGTGTACAGAAAAGCAGAGACCAGAAAATCAGAAAGTGGAACTAAGATAGTTCCTCTACTTCTCGTGCATTCTAAACTTGGAGGAAAAAAAAAAAGAGTGAAAGTAAAGGGAAGAATTATAATCTTTGAAAAACACCTCTGTTCATAAGAAATCAAAGTCATTTAAGGAAATAGGTACTTGGCCTTCTATATTGAAAGGAGGAAAATATTTTTGACTAGGTAAAAGACATTTGTATATCTGATGCCCCATTTTCTTATCAATGAAATGCAAATATGGTTCATGGCATGCTAAGGTACAATTTTCCTGTAAAAGGATATTTCTGTCAGATATATTTGAAATCCTTTAAAATGCCTATCTGAGGTGGCATGGAATCAAGGAACACACAGCTCCCCACTAAATGGAGGTCAGAAATGCAGGACTCAGAGTGCCTAACTATTTCATTACCCTGAGGATTTGTTTCTTTTAAACCTGAAGACCAAACTTCTGGTCTCACAGCATCATGGGGATAGAATTGGCAAGAAATAAACACCAGTGTCTTCCCTAAAATGGGAAAATCATAAGACCCCCATCGCAAAGCCTGAGCCCCAAAGAGCATTGTGAGTTAGTGTGAATTCACAAATTGAAACAAACTCACACATTGTTAGTGTGAGTGTGAATGAAAAATGAGCCCCATTTTGTGAGAAAGGAAAAAAGAAGCTGCTAGCAGTAGCAGAAGGGGAGGAACGTCCACTGAGAATCTGTGACTGTGAGCGGCCCTCACTGGCCTTTTCAGGCCTCGTGTGTATCACTTGTGTTAGGATAAGCTTCAACTGGAAGTGGAATTCACAGCAAACCCAGGTTACCAGAGAAAACAAATATCCATTCCTCCTAGAAAAATGTGTTTTCAACTCAAGGACTTAAGATTTTTCAGGGATGTTGTTCAGTGGAATAAATATCTAAGAGTGAGCCAAAAAAAAAAAAAAAGTAATCACAAACCACAAGGCAATAGGGTACCATGAATCAGATACAAATAGGAAGGGACGGTGAGCAATAGCTCACCATCAGCTGTGCCTACACAAGGTAAACAACTTGTCCTCCACAGGTGGTCTCCTGAGTTTCTGACCTATGCTGTATGGTAGGTTATGTGGCTTGATTGCATTTCCATTTGATATTTTTGTTTTAGTCGGTTTATTGGGGAGCAGTTGCTCATGGAAAGTTGAGGAACGCCTATAGTGGAAACACTAGAGACAATATAGGTTCTGAAATTTTTAGGTAGGTAATTTAATATCAATTTTAGTGTACTTAAGAAATGCAGAAAAGTGTGAGAAAACATCTAAAAGAATGGCCAAAAGATTAAAAAGAATGAAACTGACATTTTTTTTCAAAGTAAAATTTAAGCCAAGTGTGGTGGCATGCACTCATAATCTCAAAAGGTAAAGCAAAGCTAGAAGTTCAAGGTTAGTTTTAGTTGCAGGGCCAGCTCCTTGTTGGCCTGAGCTACTTGAGTCTCTGTCTCAACAGACCAGCGGGGAAGGGAAGTAAAATTTAAAACTCAAAGGATGAATTAATTAAATAGCTGATTAGACCTAGCTTAAGAAACAACTATTACAGATTTTCCTACTTGATCCTTTGTCACCTGCCCTTCTGCCCTATCAGCGTCACACCTAACAAAAGAGAATTACCACAGAGTAATCCACTTACTGTCTCTGTCCCAACTGTGGTGACCCTGTGGGTTACAGCCATGGATGAGTCATTTGTGCTCTTATAACGTGTATTAAGAGTCCATTTCATCTTTCCTACTCGAGGATATGGTTCCTGTATGTCTTCATATCCCCCACCACGTTAGTTTTTCTCTAATGAGCTGTTACTTACTGTCATCCTAGTGTATAATCTGGGGTTCTTGGTTTTGAGTTCGGGTCCTCATTGAGCACTTTAATGAATGAGCTGTCCCCTCCCCTTTTTAATTTCTGTATCTAGAAACATTCCTGAGCTGTCTTCATTTTATTTTTCCTGTCCTGTTTTGTTTAACCTATTCATTACAGTCAGACAGTACTATACTGTACTGTACTTCTACTACTGCCCTGAAACTGTTCTCTCTAGTCATGGTTACCAGTGTCTTCATTGCTAAGACTATAGTTCTTAAACCTCAGGTTTTACTGTTGGCAGATTTTTTTTTTCACAACACAACCCTTATTCTTTTAAGTGTTTACTTTCTTTGGTATCCAGGATGCAAACTTTTCTGGTTTACTTCCTCTGTTATAGCCTAGTCTATCTTAGACTCGGCTTGTTTCTCCTTTGTCCTTGATCACCAGCCATTTGACCCTTGAGGTTTGTGTCTGTCTTGTTCATCTTATATGGACACTTGGTTTTAAAAACTCATCTGTACCTGAGTCTCAGGTTAATATTTGAAGACAAAAAAATCTTAGTTCTAGACCACCATATTCAACTTTTTATTCTCCATCATTTATATTTGGGTGACAAGCATCTCAAGCTTCATAATCAGGAAGAAATAAATGTAGTACATTATCATTAGGACAAAAAAATCCACTATTCCCTCATACTTCTTTGTCCTTGTTGATTGGTAAAAATTAAACCATAGATTAATGTTAGTATTCAGGGTGGCATGTCTCAACATTAACTCCTGACCATTGGTGGTGAGATACAGACTTAATATAAAAACTTAGGAAGTCAGCCTGCGATTCCCTAATAAAGCTACATGTGTGCTTAGAGCAATTCTGCACCCAAAATTATCACCTTGATAAACTCTTCCACATGTCTCCCAAGGTATATGTACAAAGATGATTGCATAGCTCTTTAGCAAAATTTATAATCAATATGGAATATATTTGTTTCCTGTGTTGCTATAACAAATCACCACAGTTTAGTCACTAAAAACAATGTAATGTTTTAAATCTTGTAGTTTTGGGGACTAAAAATCTGAAACTCAGTTTTAGAGTGATATCCTTAATTTTATCAACAAAGTGGGAGTCCTGGAGGCTGTAAATGAGAACAATTTCTTGACTCTGCCAAGCTTTTAAAGGCATCTGTAGTCTTTGCCCTGTGACTTCTTCCTGTATCTTCACTGTCAGTGCTGTAAACTCTTCTAACTTCTCCTGACTCCAGTACCCCTGCCTCTTTGTGATAAGGAATTCTGTTTAACTTTATTAGCCTCCTTTTATTAATCCAATATAATCTTCATGTCTTTTTTTTGGTTTTTTGTTTTTGTTTTTGTTTTTTGAGACAGGGTTTCTCTGTGTAGTTCTGGCTGTCCTGGAACTCACTCTGTAGACCAGGCTGGCCTCAAACTCAGAAATCCACCTGCCCCTGCCTCCCAAGTGCTGGGATTAAAGGTGTGCGCCACCACTGGCTAAATCTTGATGTCTTAAGATCCTTAATCACATCTTTAAATTTTTTCTTTAAAATTGTTTATTGTGTGTGTGTGTGTTTGTGTGCTTGCATGTACATGTATGCTTGCTTGCCATATCGTGCGTGTAGATATCAGAGGAGTTCTTTGTTTCCAACTTTACCTGGGTTCTAGGGATCAAACTCAGGTTGCCAGGCTTGCCTGGCAAGCATCCTTAGCTACTGAGCAATCTCGCCTGCCCTAGTCTTATTTTTAAAGACGCTTACTTTGTAAAATCGTATCCTTCTAAGATATTAGGTTTGTGAAATAGTGTCTTAGGAATCAGGACTTGTATATCTTGGGCTGTTCTTCTGCATGGAACAAAATGGGATGGATAAGCTGTGATTGTTCATATACAGCATTTACATCATGGAAAGTGAATGAGCTAGCTACAAATAAAACTCAGCATCATAGGTAAATGCCAAAGTAAAATATTAGCAAAAGCAACACCTTTGCAGAAGAACTGAAATGAAATGACATTAACATTACTAAAACAGGAATTGTGAGTATATTGTTCAGGGATACATTACAAAGAAAGTTACAACAGTAAGGTTTAGTTTGACCTCTAGGTAGGTGTACTCGAGAAAGAACTTCAAGGATACAGGAAATATTAGCAGCTACATTTCAAACTTTTGGTGATACACAGGTTTTAAAAGTTACAGATGTGTATTAACAGTAATTTATCCTTAGCACGATGAAAATGGCCTTTGTGTGTGTGCACACATGCACATGGAGGCTAGAAGTTGACATTAGGTGCTGTCAATCTTTTCTCCACCTTGTTCTTTGAGACAGAGTCTTGAGGAAGCTGGAGCTCACCAATTCAGCTAGAATATCTGACCACCAAGCCCAGGGAGCCTCAGTCTCAGCCTTCCCAGTGCTGCCTCCCCAGCTTTTTATGTAAGTCCCAAAGATCTGAATTTAGGCCTATATGCTTGTGTAGCAAGCATTTTGCTGATAGCACCTGAAAATATTTAAAGAAAATAATAGTTTACAGACCAAAAGTTTTCAGTTTAAAAAGCATCACTAAGAAAGAACAGTTACCAGGTTTTTGTTGTTTGTTTTTGGACAGGGTTTTTCTGGTTGTCCTGGAGCTCACCCTATAGACCAGGTCAGCCTCAAATGCAGAGATCTGCCTGCCTCTGCCTCCTGAATGCCCGGATTAGAGGCATATGCTACCATGCCCAGGTTAGAAAAAGTATTTAAACACATGCACAGGCACACACACACACACACACACACACACACACACGACTGCTGTGACTAGTGAACCTAGAAACTCAATGAAATTTAAGCGTTAGCAACAGGATCCTGGGAAAAGGGTGATTAAGTGGAGAGAGAATTCCAGCTCTTGTAACATGCTGTGTCCGTGTGGGATGGAGTTGGGAGAGACATTGCCACTCTGAGGAAGAAAAATAATTGGATAGAACTTCTGCTTCTGGTCACTGCTTCTATGTCTCCTTCTATCTGAGGGCTTCCTGAACAAAACATTTAATAGGCAGAGTTCCATTGTTCTTAAAACCTTGAACTGAGATAGTTGCAAGTTCATGTGCAGTTGTAGGAAATAATACAGAGAAGTACTATGTCACGTTACCAAGTTACACAATGGTAACATTTTATAAAGATAGAGTTATAAACAGGATGTTGCCATTGGTAGAATGATTTGATATTTTCCTGGTTCTATGTATATTATTTGTGTGTACATATTCACTTTTGAGGGAGGGGGGGTAGGTTTTTTTGAGACAGGGTTTCTGTGTGTAGCCTTAGCTATCCTGGAACTCACTCTTTAGACCAGGCTGGCCTCGAACTCAGAGATTTGCCTGCCTCTACCTCCCAAGTGGTGGGATTAAAGGTGTGCCCCACCACTGCTCGGCTATATTCACATTTTAATTATATGCTGTTTCATGCATTCACCACCACCGTGAAAATATGGATCAGGTTATTCACTTCAAGCATCTACTCTGCTCCCATCCTCCTCCTCCTCTCCTCATTACTTCATGTCTGCATGCTTGCAATGTGTGGGTAAAGATGCTCAGTGGAAGCATCTATCCTGTCCTGTCATCATCATCACCCTGGAGGGGAGGGCGTGGGCGTGGGTGTGGGTGTGTGCAGACACACGTGTAGAGGTCAGATGACACCTTTTGGGAATTGCTTCTTCCTATCCGTCATGGGATCCTGGGTTGAACTCGGGCCGTCAGGCTTGGAGGATAAATGTGTTTACCAGCTGAGCCATCTTGTTCGTACTCCAGCTTGAACCCATCACACTTTCCACCATTTCTAAAACTTTTCAGAATATTCTGTACATGGAACTATAGCATGTGGGTTTGGGGAATGCTGGTTTTTACTTCGGAGACTTCTCCCAGGATTAATTCAAGTTGTGCATACATATTGAGAGTCATTTTTAGTAAAGCTGAAGAATGTCTTACAGAATTTTTTAGACTCGAACATTACCTCATCTATACCTGCTTCTCTTCATGGGTTTACGGAGTAGTGGGGAAGAACACAGACTTTTACAGCCTGAGAGATTTGGGAGTTAAGCCCATGGATGTCAAACAGTCATTGTAAGCTTGTTAAACCATAATTTTTCTTACAGTGAGGGTTATTTACAGGATAGTTTTAATGAGTAAATGAGGTGACATACTAAAGTTTGTAACACCACGTGTGGCACATAAACAGCATCCTAAAAGGAAGGTGAAGATGCTCTCAGCGGCGGCATCACAGGCTGTGGCTTCTAGGTTAGTCTGGAATCCAGTGGCAGCTAAGATTTTTATTGATTGGGCAGAGGAAAGGCAGAAGTATCTTCCATTTTGAACCCCAAAAGAAGGATTGGTATTTCAAAGTAGGTATATGTAATTTTCCTGGGTTTTGTTGTTTTTTTAATGTTCAATTGCTATAATTAACAAGTGACTGCTTTCATGATATAAATCTTAAAAATACTTTTTACAGGTAGTTATTTTGTGTGTGTGTGTGTGTGTGTGTGTGCGCGTGTTGGGGACTGAGTACACATGTGTCATGGAATCCATATACAAGTCAGAGGACAAGTTTCAAGAGTTGATACCTTCCTTCTACCATATGGAGGGAGGTTGAATTCATGTTGTCAGACTTGACAGCAGGGATTTTTACCCACTAAGCCATTTCATTGCCCCTAATGTTATAAACCTTAATCAGTAAAACTGGCCAACATGAATGAATAAATTATCCTTTAAAATAGTAGATTTATTAAGATATAAACATTATATTTATGTATCTTAGATCTTACACATATGTATATTCTAGGTGACTGGAGTTCTGGATGATTGCTTATGTGACATTGACAGCATTGATAACTTCAACACCTACAAAATCTTTCCCAAAATAAAAAAGTTACTAGAACGAGACTATTTTCGTTATTACAAGGTAAGGTGGCAATTTTTAATTCTGTTAATCCAAAGATTTCTATATAGTTGTCTGCAAATGTGATGTGTTTTATTATGTTTTTTTAAAACCTTCTTAAAAAACATAGTGGAAAACTTGTTTACTATATACAGAACCCTTCTTCTTATGTTTGGGAATTATTCTTCTTTCAGTTTCAGGTTTGAGGTGAAGATTCTTCCTGCCCATACAGACTTTGTCAGCCTCTGTGAGCACAGGTTATATGCTCTGGACCTCACTATCAGGCTGCAGCTGGGCATTGTGCGGGTATAATGGGTCACTGGTGTTCTTTGTGGGGGCTGCAAACTAAGTGATGCTACAGGTAGAACATGCCTCCACAGTAATTCTGTGGACTCTGTTTGAACCTAGCACGAGTGTCTAGGCCTTCTGATATCAATGGAAAGGCAGGAGCAGTCTCAGAAGTATGTCAGCAATCAGAATGCAAGGAAGCAATTGTAATTTTATATTTTAAAGGAGTCAGGTCCAAGGGGGTAGCCTAGTGGGTTAAAACAATTATTCATGTTTATTCATTGTACAAGGGAGTGGGCTACATGAAGCCTCTTTTGGTTCAAGTACTTCATGTACTTTGACCGTATTCACTCACTGTTTCTTCAGTCCCTCTCCTCTGTGTGTTGCACAGTCTGTTTTACAGCTGTATTTTAAAGCTACCCTTGGCTTTACTTTGATCTTGTTCTTG